CGCAATCGCATATTTATGAACCGATTTTTTTTAATTGATACCAAAATGTTGCAAATTTTTCGGAGATGGCGACGATGTAGTTTTTTTAAGTTTTACATCCCCACCCACCCACGTATTCACACATTAATTGATCGATTTTTTCGAAATCAATACCAAAGTTTTCTAAATTTGTCGAAAATGGCACTATATGATTTTTTTTAATTTGTACAAACCTATCCACCCACCCACGCACTCTCTCATTAATGGACCGATTCCCTCGAAATTGGTACCAGAATTTTGCAAATTTTTCGGGGATGACAACGATGGCAATTGTTTTAAGTTTTACACCCCCACCGACGCACCCACTTACGTGCGTGCGCATTTATGGACCAATTTTCTCGAAATTGGTATCAAAATAATGCAAATTTTTCAGGATAGGCCACTATGTATTTTTAAAATGTTAAAATTTTTTTATTTTAGAGAAAGCACTGTTTTCGTAAAAATTTTTTTTTTCGGATTTCTATGCCAGTGTGTTCAAAATGCTCCAAAACATCAGAAAGTAACTTTTTTCAAACTTTTATTTTTATTTTTTTTTAATTTTGTGTGTATGAATGCATGTATGTGTACATTTAAAATGTAAATGTCTCAAGAAGTATTTGATTTACAGCGCTTAAAATTAGCATACAAGTAAAGTAGTACAACACTTTTTTATAAAAATTTATATAGTATTTTATTTATATTAAAATTTTTAATTTTTCGAGAAATGTCTGTTGCTCTAACTTTGGTAAATTTTAAGATATCGGGATCAATTGTTTTGTATAAATAGATTAGCATTGAAAGTTGGTTGGTATTGAATTTGATGAGAATCAATGAAAGAATTCATTTTTTTTAATTTTGAATTTTTAAGAAACGTTTTTAATTGTTCTAATTTTAATAAATTTTAAGATATTTGAGTAATTTTTTTTACGTAAATAAGTTATTAATAAATAATGTTTGGTATTGAGTTTTGTGATGATCGATGAAAAATTTTGATTTTTATAAAATTTTAATTTCTAAAAAATACACATTTTCTAGTTTTCCTAAATTTTGAGATATCAAGCTAAAAGCTTTCACCTCGAAAAATTTGCAACCGTATTTTGGTACCATTTTCGAGAAAATCGGTCCATTAATTAAGGAGTAGTTCGCGGTCAGACAGACAGACGGGGTATATATATATATATATATATATATATATATATATATATATATATGTGTGTGTGTGTGTGTGTGTATAGCTAGCTTTTAAGCTCACGAAAAAAATATTTTAAAAATATATTAAAAATATAAAAATATAAAAATATATTAAAAATATTATTAATATATTCTCTTGCATTTATTTATTTATTTCCGTAGGAGGGTTAAAGGATTATTGAAATTAAATCTCAAATATGAGATTATTTCATATTTGAAAATCTTGGCTGTGATCAAGTAAAATTTGGTGCCTTGTGCACAGATATTTAATTCTAACGAAAAAATTTAGTTTCGTTGGGATAACGCACTGTCTTCCGCGATTGGCTCTTATTGCCTGTCTTACACTTTAAATTTATATTTATATTACAGAGCCTTGTTAAACTCTTAACTTAAAATATTATATTTAAAAAAACGTTAGATATAGGTCTTGAAGCCCGCGTGAAGCTCGAGTCGAAATAATTATATGTATACTATTTAAAAATACAGAGTTTGTCAGTTTGTTTGTCCTCGCAATAATCTTTAAAACACGTAGACCGATTAAAATGAAATTTTAAGGATTGATTCTTTATAATCTTGGGGGTGTTATAGGCTGCGTAATATGTTCTTCTGAAAAAATTTTTTTGGGGGTGAATATGCATCAAAAAAATGTTTTTCAGCTTTTAATGTCAATGTATTCGAAATGTATTAAAAATGTCGAAATTCGGCTGTGTAAGAATATTCTTTTGAGAAAAAAATTTTTGAGGGGTGAATATGCATCAAAAAAAGTTTTTGTCAAAAAAATCAAAAGTTAAATCAGTTTAATGTCAAAAAAATATCAAAAGAATTTTCTCAGAAGAATATATATAAAAATTTTTTTCTCAGAAAAATATATATAAAATCCTTAAAATTTCGACCTTTTAATACATTTCGAACACATTGACATTAAAAGCTGAACAAATTTTAACACAGTCTAACACTCCCAAGATGATAAAGAATCAATCATTTATTCAAATTTCATTTTAATACGTCTATATTTGAAATGAATCTTAAACATCGATAATACAAATCTATCCAACTGACAAACTGTGTTTTTATATAAATAGTATAGATAAACTAATAATAAACTCTATAAATAAAACTAATAAAAATAAAAATATAACTTCTATTAATCATTCGACCTGACTGGCCAATACAAATTGTTAAATACTAATACATTAGTAATCCTACATCTTTCTAATTGACATCTTGAAAGTAACACTTGATAAGGATCCGTACCCAAGGGTCGAAACTTTGCGTATTAACAATTTATATTGGCCAGTCAGGTCGAATAATTAATAAATTATATTTTTATTCATCACTGGCGACTTTATTTTAACTATTTGATATCTAAAAATAAATTATAAAAAAAGTAAAATCTTTGAGGAATATTAGCTTTGAGGTCCGCGCTTCGCGCGGGCCTCAAATCGCTAGTTAATTATGTTATTTTCGTTCATTATTGTACATCTTTTATCGATAAAACAATACATATAGAGATTCTTATATTTTTATTCTTTTGAATTAAGTCGTCACTGTCAACGCGGACTTGGCAATTCAATATGTAGAAGCCATCAATGAGTTGTAACACCTGAAGGAGAGGTTTTTGGACTAATGTTTATAAGAACTTTTTTTAAGACAATCCCAATCTAATCCTTGATTTTGGTCAACTATTTTAAGACCTTGGATACAGGTATACCTTGACTGCAAAAGTTATTTTGATTTTAGTTTTTCAGTCTACGCCTGCCAAGCAATAGATTTTAAAATTTGATTATTTATTGATCTGTCTACTCGTATTTATCTCAGATTATATAACCTTGTAACAATCATTTATTCCACAACTTTGTTTATGACTTCCTTCTTTTGTTTACTAAAATTTATTTAATTCTTGAAACTCTCTCTCTTACATTTACTATCCGTGCTGACTTTTGCTAATCCAAAAAATTTGAAATGTTATGTATATACACTGCCATTTAGGTCTAATATACTAGCCTAGGAAATTTAAATTTGTATTTTAGTTGAAAATTTAATTTATTTAAAAATATTGTATCGGCTCTCGGAATCAATACATAATATACCCAAGTGGAAAATAGTTACTGGCGAAGTAATGGCCTAGTACCGATTTCTATTACTAACAATAAGTATTGGCACTATATTGGTACCGATTTCCAGAGAATCAATCAATTAAAACGTGAATGTGTGGGTGGGTGCATGGGTGGGAGTGTAAAATTAAAAAAAAAACATCTAGTAATCATCCTCGAAAAATTTGTGAAATTTTGGTACCAATTTCGTGAAAATATGCCAATAAATGTGTAAGTGCGTGGGTGGATGGTAAAATAAAAAAAAGCATCTAGTAGTCATCCCCGAAAAATTTGCGAAATTTTGGTACCAATTTCGTGAAAATCGGTCCATAAATGCGCATATGCGTTAGTGTATGCGTGAGTGGGCAAAAACTAAAAAAACCACACAGCAACCACCCCCGAAAAATTTGCAACATTTTGGTACCAATTTAATGAAAATCAGTCCATAAATGTGGAAGTAGTTTGCGGTCATACAGACATACAGACAGACAGACGGTACTTACATATATATACTAGCTTTTTGGCCCGCGCTTCGCGTGGGCCTCAAAGCTTTTACCCAACACTGACCCCGCTCTTATTAGTTTTCACACAATTTTTTATTTTACAAAACCAAAGATATATAATATTTAATGATACTTATTAATAATATTTAATATCTATTTGTCTGTCTATTTGTCCGTCCGTCTGTCTGTCTGTCTGTCGTCGTCATCCCCAAAAATTTTCAAGATTTTGGTACCGAAAATAAATCAATATGTGTGAGTGCGTGGATGGAAGTTTTACATACAAAAATTTTATTTTTAAATGTGATTTCTCGATTGGAACATTCTGAACACATTGGTATAGAAATTTGCAAAAAATTTTTTTCGCGGAAACATAGCCTCCTCTATAGTAAAAAAAATTTTTTAATTAAAAAAATCACCATCTCACACTGCCCAAAAAATTTGCAACTTGTGTATATATAGATATAAATAGATATCCAATTTCGAGAAAATTAATCAATAAATGTATGAATGCGTGGGTGGATGCGTATGTAGTAGTGTAAAACTTAAAAAAAACACATAGTAGCGATCCCCGAAAAATATGCAAAATTTTGGTATCAATTTCAAGAAAATCGGTCTATAAATGTGTTGGTGCGTGGGTGGCTGCGTAGATGGGTGCATGGGTGATTGAATAGGGTGGTAAAAATTTTTAAAAATCATATAGTGGCCATCCCCGACAAAATTTTAGTACAAATTTCGAAAAAATCGGTAAATAAATGTGCGAATGCGTGGGTGGATGTGTGAGTGGGATAAAACTAAAAAAAACCACATCGTCGCCATCTTCAAAAAATTTGCAACATTTTGGTACCAATTTCAAAAAAATCGGTCCATAAATATGCGTTTGCGTGGGTGGGTGCGTGGGTAGAGGCGTAAAACTTACAAGCAATCATCATTATCACCCTCCCCGGAAAATTTGCGAAATTTTGGTACCAATTTGATGAAAATTGGTCCACAAATGCGGAAGTAGTTCGCGGTCAGACAGACAGACAGACAGACGGACGGTACTTAATTATAGATACATATGTATATACAATATATATATAGTTTTAATTTATTTGTTGTTAAATAACTTGTAATTTACTAAAATATGATTTTATCATTTATTTATTGGTAACATTACTTCCATTGAATGAATAAATATGATATTTTTGTCATGTAGGAACGTTTACTACTACATCAACTACTACAACGAAGCTACATCGTAAAATGGAAATCCAAGCCTTAGACAAATCAGAATCTGATAATAATGATGGTAAGAGAAAAGTTTTTTTAAATATATTATCTTATTCCCAGATAACCACAGTAATTATTATGACATCATTTTGATGTCAAAATGCATCATTTTGATGGTAAATGATGCATCATTTTGATGGCAAATGATGCATTTTGATAAAATAATGTCATAATAATTACTGTGGCTATCTGGGTTATAATATATATATATATATATATATATATATATATATATATATATATTATGTAATATAAATATACGTATATTTATTATATATTCAAGTAATTATATATGTATATTTGAATTCTAATAAAAATGGTTCTATTTAATTTCAGATAACTCTGCTGGCTACGTGTCAATTAATCTTCCATTATTATTTATACAATTAGCAATTTTCATTTCATCAATAATTCAATAGGTAAATTTAATATTATAATACGCATTAATTTTATGTTTTGTATACGTGTGAGTGTGCGTATGTGTGTGTGTATGACACTCTCCCGCAAAATAAATGGCTACCAAATTTAGCACAATTTTTTGACATCTTTGAATTTAATAACTCAGTAAAAAGTATTATATTGAAATAAATCAACGCTTAAATTAAAGCCCAAACATTTCATTTAATAACACGCAGTGCTTAGATGAATTTAAAATCAGCTAGATAAAGATTTAATAAAAACATGTAAATGCATTTTAGAGATATAAATATCTATTTATATCTATAAGATAAATTCGTTTAAATATATCTAAATAAAAGATAAAATTATATGGCGATGCATCTAGATAACTTCCAGATAATATTTTTTTGAGACCGTTTATGTAAATACAGTTATAAAAAAATGTAAAAATATATTTATAGTTTTATTTATAAATTATCCATTACTGCTGAAGTTCTACTAATTAAGTATTCTTTTGTGCTATGACTTTAAACCAAATTATCTGAATATTATTCTAGATAATTTCGTGAAAATAATACTTTTTTTCATCTAAGATGCAGGTATATATATATGTATAAATGATACATTTATTATCTATATAAAGATAAGATGACGCCAAGATTTTATCTAAATGATTATCTATATAATTTTATTTAGATAACAGTAAACACTGATAAGAAGAAAAACTAAAATTGAATTATAATAAATGTTTTACAAAATATCGAACGTTAAAGATAGACATAAAAAATGGGGAAAATGTCTCTTTAAATTTTTGCTTAGTTCAGAAGAATCGGCTCTCAGGTATAAAAAATATGAGTTTTAAGCTCATTACTTTGCTAACAAATCCATATTTTAAACATTTTTCTACAATTTTTTGTTTTGACAAAATTAAGTATACTCTGTTTTGAAGAAAATGTTGCAAAACAGATATTTTCTTGTAAAATCTGCAATTTAGATAACACACATACACACACACACAAATTATCATGAAAAACAAATTAAAATATAAACTTTGAAGATATATTAAAAAATAAACTTCAAATTTTTAATCTTTTTGCCAATAATAAACACAAAAAATTGCCGGTAATAAACATTTATAATGATATAATTTTTTTGTTTATTATCGATAAAAAGGTTATAAAATTTAAAGTTTACATTTTAATTTTTTTTTTGAACAAATTTTTCATGATAGTTTGTTTCTAAATTGCAAATGTTACTAAAAAAGTCTATTTTGCAACATTTTTTAAAACAGTATAACTTTATAAAAAAATTGTAAAAAAATTTGTTAAATATGGATTTGTTAAGGTATTATATATAATGAACTTAAAAGCTCATATTTTTTGTATCTAGGAGCCGATTCCAATGAGCTATACAAAAATTTTAAAAAGACATTTTTCTCCATTTTCAATGTCTATCTTTAACATCTGCCATTTTGTATAACATTTTTTATCATTCAATTCTGGTCTTTTGCATTAATAAAAAAATGTTCAAGCTTTAATTTAAACGTTGGTTCATCTGAATACTATGATTTTTTACTAATTACAAATTAGCAATTCAAAGATGTCAAAAAATTAAGCTAAAATTTGACCCATTTTTTGTGGTTAAATATATTAATAATTATAGGAACTTGAGATCTGTGCATATATAGTATTCTGCAACCATTATACAATACTCTTTCAATGACGTTTTATTTTGCAGATTAGCTTAAAAAATCTGAAGATTTAGGAAAATGATGTGGAAATCAGAGTAGTTTTTGACTTATGAGTAATTATAATGATATTAAACTCATGTGACAAAGTTTGCATCAAAATCTGTAGCTATGTATGCATACATTTTAATCTCAGAATTGCTTTAATCACTGAACTATTCAATGGAAAAGAGCTAATCCATGTTGTATCAAGTCTTATATTATATATAATTATATTATATATAATTATATTATATATAATTGTAATTATATATTATAGTCTTATATTATATATAATTGTAATTTATTGTGAAAAAAGAATCTCTTCTGATTATTCTATCCTTATAGAATTAATTTATCATTAGTAAGTCCAATTAATCACTTATTTCAAGTACTTAAATTACTAATATATAGTAAAAATAAGGGTATGTCTTTTAAGCATATACACAATAAAAGCTTTTATACAAAAGCTTCATATATATTAAAAGTTTAGCGACAGTTGTTATAATTTTAAACAAATTAAAAAACGTCAAATTTATATCTATTTAAAAATTTGTATAAAGAAATATTATTTTAAAATATTTTAGAGTGCTTATCTTTTTTGCAGTTTTGCTACAAAAGTGATACTACCGATGACACCAAAATATAATGAGAGTAAATATTATCGTATTAATGTTTTTAATATTTTTATATTAGATTTATTTTTGTAATTATAGATTATTTTGTAATTATTTTTTGTAATTATCTCTAGAATATATTAAAGTATTAAATATTGTTAAATGGTTGCAGAACATCTTGTATATCTATATCTTGTATATATATGTATATATTGTGTAATCTCAACAATATCAATCAATCTCACCAATAGTTTATAGAATCATAATATTATTCTGACAGCTTAAAAAAATTGATTAACATAAATAATTTCATGCAAAACATATTATAAAACATGTTTTAATTGGAAATAAAATTTCAGATTATACCAATATTTTGAACAAGATGACAAGTGCGGCTATGAAGAAAATCGTTTCGATTCTACATCGAACATTTTATTGTATTATAAATACATCCACATATTACATATATACATATAATATATATATATATATATATATAAAGATATTTTCCCCTTTCTTACAATTATTAAAGAATAAAAAATTTATATCATCTCTCTTTCTCTCATCTTTATTCTTTATTTGTAAGAATATCAAAGTTATTTGTTGTAAATTGTAATCTATAATAAATTGTAACTATATGTGATTATTAATAATCGGCAATAGTTAAAGCAATTAATAAATTGTTCGTAATAAATGATAAAATAACTATATAAACTATTTTCTTATTTGAGAAACTGTTTTTTCTCAATTTTTTAATTAAAATTTTATTGAAATTTTAATTAAAAATGTGTGAAAATCATTTTATTTTATAATTATATTTTGATTCTCAAAGTCAATTACCTTGTAATTAACAATAAATTTAAATTTAAATTAAATCTTACAAATTAAATAAGGAAAAAATCTCTTTTTAACATTAATTTTAATATATATGCGTTTTTATTTGTGTATTGTGTGTTGCGTGCGTGTGTTTTTTTTTTATTAATACAAATCGTTTAATTTTTTCATAAAAAACTATATTTATAGTAAAAAAAGAAAAATCTTAATCTTATCTTTCTTACGATTTGATTTTTTTAAATATGAGTAATTGAAAATTATATATATATATATATATATATATATATTTTACTATTTTATTATACTTATATATAGAATATCAGTTATGTTATACAAATTATCAAAAATAAAATAAACATAGGATATATAAATAAGAATTAAAAGTAACAAATTAATTGTTCAAAAAATTATAATTATATGAAATTATTTGCACACGCGCGCAAATATGTATGAATGTGTGCATACGTGCGTATATGCATCTCTTCTGCGTATGTTTTTATGCATGTTGGGTAAACAAATATTTTTATTTAAGTTTAAAATATATAATTATAATAAATACAGAATGTATGTAACATTTTAAAATTTGCTATAAATTTTATAATTAATTTATATACAAACAATAATATATAAGACTTTTTTTCTATTGAGTGTGCAATATGTCAGCAAATAGATAGCAAATTCAATCATAAATTTGCAGTAGATCGACTGCATCTTGTATGTTTTACTGACAGAATCTGCTGATATAAGACGTAAAATGCGACAGTAAAATGGTGAACAGAACTGACAATGAGTAGAATCTGTGCGTAGATTAGCAGCAAAACCAAGCACGATTTGCAAATTCAAGCTATTTAAATAAAATAATATAAATTGATTACTGAACCTTCCTGTTTTACCAACAAAGTATATAATAATTTTTATACATACTAATCTTTTTATTAATTCGATAGAATATTAAATGTTTTTTCACGATGAAAATGACAGCAATAAAGGTAAGAATGCCCGATTTTATGTTAAAAACCCCCAAAAATTAGTAAATTCTTTATTAAACTGATAAGGCGACAGACATAATCGTAGTTCCATCTGATAAGGACAGACTTAATCGCAAAAAGATCGGCCTATTCGCGCGAGTACAAGCGCACGATGAGAATAAGAGACCTCATCATTACATGATTGTTACCAATCCGACATTAGATCATATGGTAGCAAATCTTGCTCGGTTTTTGCAACCAATCTTTTTACTTAATCGATAATAATAGCTCCTGTACCAAATTTGTAATCTTTTATTGATAACAATTTGTAGCAGGCACTTGGCAAAATCTGTTTAAACAGATTTGGCTAACTGGATAAAGGCTTTTAAATATTTAACTTTCCTGTAAAAGTTAATAATTGTTATTAAATTATAAGAGTTAAAGTAAAAATAATTTAATCACGTGTGTATATACAGCATATGTATGTATTAGGTATACACATAAATGTGTATATATTGTGTGTATACAGCTTATACATATAAGAAAGAAAATGGGTATATTAAAATTGTAATTTATTTTACTTCAAAAGTTGCGATAAGTGACCAAAATTTAGAATAATGGTGCAACAATAAAAACAGTTATATTATTTCTAATTAATTGATCCTGTTAAAAATGTGTAAAAATGGTTAACGAACAAAGTTTTATATCCAATGATTATTATAAGTATATTAAAGTATATCTTTATCTGATACTATAATAGGCCTTTTTGTAAAAAAAATTATTGTATATTGCTAACTATTTGTATTGCTAACGATAAGTATAAGCAGTATAAATATTTCGAAATATGTATCAAATCGATTAAAAATTGCATACATAAGATTAATTATAAAATATATTTTGAAGTCAATATATTGTGGTGTAATTTACATATTCTAAGATCACATGCTTATTCCATAATTAATTATAGCAATAGAAAGTAACTATAAAAAACAAAAATAAATTATTTGCTTGCGCCGAATTTATATGCTTTTACAAGTGTAACTTTTTTATTTGTACCATTATTTTTCTGTAAAAAAAAGTATAGTTTATTATTTAAAAAAAAAAACAGTTTATATGTATTTTTAAAAATTATTGTATTTTTTTTGTTGGACTAAACCTTAACACATGTTTTTAAGAAAAAGATTGATATATTTTACAATTTATTACAGTCAAAGTGTATTGTAAAACTTTTAAAACTACATATTTTTGTTATAACATTTTTTTCTATATAATAATAAATAATCTTTGCTCTAATATTTTCTAATAGCATATATCTGCAGAATGAAATAATGTGCTGCGCACTTTGTCTTCCTCTATAGAAATTGCGATACTTAATTATATATATGTATGTATCTCGCGCGATTATCTAGATATGCACTTTATATATTAATTTAAAGTTAGAAGAACATAGTAATAAAGTAATTTTTTTTATTTAAACTGTTCGATCCCTTTTAAGACTATATAACACATATGTTATAATCAATTTTTTCTATAACCTATAAACCTAAACTATAAGTTTTAAAATATTTTCCTCAAGCATTATTCTTAAGTCTGAATGAATAAGATTAAATAAATTCATATTGTATAAATATCAAAATATTATATTACAATCATAGACTTATTTATACATATAAAAAATTGAATATTCGCGCATTTGTGTGTGTGTATATGCGCGCGCGTGCGCGATAGTGCACTGATGAGAAGATTGATGAACAGATGAGATGCACGGTAAGATGCTTTCTCCGTCACACAATGCTCTGGGAAAAGGTGATATAGGAGAAAAATGAAAAGTATGACATAGCTATTTCTCCTCTTTCGTCCTCCCAACAAAACTGCACAATCGGACTAGGAAAGCATTTTACTACATTGTCCTGTGTCATTATAATATAATGTTGTCTTTAAGCCTCGGGAGCGCTTTGTCTATATTATACAAATCTATGATCTCTCAACATATGATTGTATTTTGTATGAATCGTAAAAATGCAAATATAATTTATAAAAAAAATAAAATAGACTTTTGAAAAAGAAATAGGGTTAAAAAAATAAAAATTATTCACTGACATAAAAATTATTACAGTTGATTTTTTGAATTGAACTATATATTTTGGCATAAATATATAGTTCATGCATTAATTTCCAAATGTTGATAGTTAATGTAGTTTTTTTCTAATTTATGTAGAAATTCACTTTTATTTTCTTTAAAATTATTTTAATTTTTGTTTTCTTTGTTGTACTCATAGCTACTAAAAAAAGAATTCATATATCTAATGAATTAATCCACGCATAAAATAAAAAATACTCATCCGTATTTTATAGTATATTTGCTATTAAGAAATACAGGGTATCTCAGACCACCCGTACATGCCGAATATTTTGAAAACGATTTTAAAGTTAACCATGAGACTTCTTTCATAACTGCTGCCAAGGTCAAATATTTATCATCATTTTATGTATTTGTTAAACCCCTACAACTTTTGTTTAAAATATTTTTATCTGTCGTGCTCAGTTTTCAAAATATTTAGCGCATGTACGGGTGGTCTAAGACATCCTGTATAATATTTGTTATTATTGATACATAGATAAGATTTTTTCACAAGTTATTATATTTCTGAAACAATCGATTGATCTTTTCGGCTTATTATTATCAATTATAATTACTAATTAATTAAGGAAGGAAGATATAGCTTAAAGCTGTGACCTCCAAGTGCCCGTCTCCGCTCACGTTTATTTATTTTGCGGACTGTTGGTCGTTAGGAAACTTCTGGGCACACTAAGCTCAGACAAACTCAAAAAAAAATATTCGATTCTTGAAAATGACAAGATTTATTGTAGAACAAGCAAATCTTAATCGCGTCGGCCGCAGTCAATTACAACTCAATTACAATGTAATGCTCTATAAAATATCTCGGGGACTGTTGAAGACGAAGTGTCCGCGATCGTCTCTTCTTCCTATGTCCTAATCCAAAATTTGCTTCTGAAAACAAACGATTTCTACCGAACGTTCCTCACTATGTTTTCACGCTTGTTGCCGCTGTTTTTCGCACGTGTTATCTGCGTGATCTCACCGTCGTCCGCGCGTTCCAAACAGAAGAAGTGTAATATTATCCTGACTTAAGTTCGTATCGTGCTTATTTCTAATGTTTTTATGTCTATAATATATTATTGTTCTATTTTCATAATGTCGACATGTAGCGCTGGAACGTTTCTTAGCTTGTTTGCTGTCAGAATAATACAGAACAGTAAAGGCTGGTATATATACTGACCGTAACTTTTTGCTGTGACCGTAAATTTAAGGATTCAACCAATCGTGTTGCTTGATTCGGCAACGCGATTGGTTGAATCCTTAAATTTACGGTTACAGCAAAAAGTTACGGCCAGTATAAACCAGCTTTAATTTACATAATTTTTCGGTTTTAAATATTTTTAAGGTTTTTTTTAATTTTTATCTTACCGGAATATCACTTTATATAGAAAAAAAATTATAAATATAAAATTGTTTTATATCCATGACACAAAACACACAGTCAAACAAAATATTTTACAATACACAATATACACCTCCTTCATCTCGGCCAATAGAGCCACACGCGATGTTATTGCGACAATTAAGAAAGAA